GAAGCTTGCGCTCGTTCATCACATTCTTATTATGCCGGAACTTAATCCACCTGCAGGGTTTAGCATAACAATCCTTCATGAACTCACTTCGAGGACATCATCAAACTAACGCACATGGGGACCGTAACTATCCTAACAGCACATCCTATATATAATAATATTACCCAAAACAGAAGGAATATTAATCCAGCGAACTGAACCTCACCCATGTGAATCAAAGTAATATATATTATATATATCTGCTTGTTTAATATCTTACTGGTTAAGAGAACGCAGTAATTAACCGAGACCTAGTTCATTTACAACGATCAGTATAAAATGAACTTCTCCTCTCTGGGATACTGCTCAATACATAAATGTACTAGTGCAACTAATCAGTCAAGACAAATTGTACAGTTGACACTACAGCCGTTCGGGTGTGGTGTTCATGTCTATATAGGTTGTGAACAACTATTCTTGTTCGCAAGTGACTGATAGAGTGATCTTCGGTTTACCCGATGACGACCTACCCTATCTAAGTGCAGAACAACAGAATGTAGAACTTGTTTAATCTAACACGATTCTCATTCATAAAGGGAAAATGTGTAATAACATGCAATGCCAAACTTTCAGTATATAACACTAACACGATCGTGGCGCGTCGCGGTTGATCTCTGGCTCCGGCTGGCGGCGATCGACTGGTCGATGGTTGGTTGGTGGGTCGCGGCCTTCGGGTCCTGATTCGTCAACTCCTTGTAGATGATCACTAGGTCTCGATAACCTATGGATCTTCTACTATATTACTCAAACACCCCTCTTCAACTTGTACCAGTGGAGCAACAAGAAGAAGATAAAACTCGAATGAGAACCGAGAGAAATAGTATGAGGGGCGTGTATCTCGATCTAATGAGGGATTGATTCTCTTCTCATGAGCTTAATGATGTATATATAGAGCTACAGTAGGGACCCTTAGAAGATTAGGAATAGTACTCCGGTAATTAATTAAATAATATTATGGGCCACCAACATAAATATTATTCCACTCCCTTTTTCTAGCCCAATTACATTTGAGACTCCAATTATAATTATTCGATTTACCTCCCCACATCTAAGATATAATGTCTATTAATTAATTTGATTACTGACAATCAAGAATTAATTAATTTATTATTATTCCACCGAAGCTAGCGCTCGTTCATCGCATTCTTATTATGCAGGAATTTAATCCACCTGCAGGGTTTAGCATAACAATCCTTCATGAAATCACTCCGGGGACATTATTAGACTAACGCACATGGTGACCGAAAATATCCTAACAGCACATACTATATATAGCAATATTACCCAAAACAGTAGGAATATTGATCCAGTGAACTGAACATCACCCAAGTGAATCAAAGTAATATGTACTACATATATATGCCTGTTTAATATCTTACGGGTTAAGAAAACGCAGCAATTAACCGAGGCCTAGTTCATTTACGATGATCAGTATAAAATGAACTTCTCCTCTCTGGGATCCTTTTCAATACATAAATGTACTATTGCAACTAATCAGTCAAAACAAACTGTACAGTTGACGCTACAACCGTTTGGATGGGGTGTTCATGTCCATCTAGGTTGTGAATGACAATTCTTGTTCGCAAGTAACTGATAGAATGATTTTCGGTTCACCCGATGATGACCCACTCTATCTAAGTGTAAAACAATAGAACGTAGAACTTGCTTAATCTAACATAATCCTCATTCATAAAGGGCAAAAGTGTAATAACATGCAAAACTAAGCTTTCAGTATATAACACTAACAGGCTAACCTTAAAGTAATCTTCCCAGATTTCATTATGTACAGCGAAAAACTTTGTTGCGGGATCCCATTCAAAGTCAGAGTTATGTCGCATAAACTCATTGTACTTGCTATATTGTTTCTTAAAATATTTCACTCGACTTATATGCTGATTGTAAGTTCGGTCGATCCCTAACTTTTCATTCAAAAGTTTTAAAGTCTTTTCACTGTTATCTTATTTATATTCCCAACATGATCACTCTAACCACGATTAAAAACATCAACCATAAGTTTAAGAAGTTCATTACTCTCTTCAATAGTCCAACTTTGATATCTTGAACCTTGATCATTTTCTTCTATTGGATCTCCCATTTCCTAAATCATAAGTTTAAGAAGTTCGTTGCTCTCTTTAATAAGTTNTATGGTAGCACCAAACTCGTTGGCCTTAAGGACTTAATAAATCTTCAACTAGAATAATAATTTTTACAACTAGTAGCCAATGATTTTCTTGCAACACAATCAATACAAATTGAATAACAATAACCACAACATAAACTTGTATATGCACTTACATCTTCAGAGTTATTTAAATTGAAATTAGCAAAAACACACAACATGTAATTACATGAGTACAAAAAAGATAGCATGGACAAAATGTTTCCGCTTATTGCTCATTAATTGCTATAAATTCACATAAATCACAAACACACACAATCACACACAAAAGCAAAGAATAATACATAATCCATTATAATGAGTCTTTGATCCAACAAAGAATAATACATTAATACATTAATCGCACGCACATAATGTTTTGGGAAAAAAGAAGCAGTCTGCTCCACCAAAACTTTAGCAGGCTAATCCAATTTGATACACATTTATCAAAACCACAATTGTAAGCATTTCTAACTTTACAGCCTATTTTTTGGAGAAAGCATAAGCATAACAAGATAAATCAAGTTAATAGAGAACAAAAAACAGTATCAGCGCTTTGAACCACTAGGCTTGATATGGTGTTCAAGAAAAAAATTAGAAATGCTTAAAAACACTGTTGTTATGCTACCTAGTTCAAATAATTTTTATTATTCAAAAAAGAAAGTGAAAAAAGGCACATTTCAAGATTACAAATACCCTTAGACATATCATTCTAATTTAAAGGGTAATTATGAAGAACAACTGCGAAAACAACATGATATGCATGTAGGGATATTAGAAAGTTCAAAAGAAATCCGATATATGTGTGCGTGTGTGTATAGGAAAAAAAAAGACTACTACAAAACGTGCTCTTGCACAATAGTGTGAAGAGTACGGTAGAAATCACATGCCATACCCTTGGCATCCTTATAGACATAAAAATAATCACAATTGTCATACAAATAGAATCTTATAATTGGCAATCATAGCATGAAATTTTATCAAAGAATAATTTCATTAACATAAAGCAAAAAAAAAAAAAAAAAANAAAAAAAAAAAAAAAAAAAGGTAATCGCTCATGTGGGCCATAGAGATGCTCGTAAAACATATAATCACAACAACAAATGTTGGTACCTATAGAAAAGTTTACGAGCAAAGTATGAGAAGATAAATTGTCTCGTAAGAGAAATCGTCCCCCTCATAAACTCTCTCAAAATCTCTCATCTACTGGTGTAATTTGTAATGAGATTTGGTATATATACTTTCCCACTAAAATCTTTCTAAATCCAGATAAATGACAAATCCAAACAAACTGAAAAGAAAATGAATCTCTTAATTTTATGGGATTTTAAAAAATCCAAATTGAATACATACGGATTTTTAGATCCATTTAAAAAGTCATTCAAAATTCTAATTGAATACTTCAAGATTTTTTAAATCTTAAAAAGTCTCATTTAGATATATCCAGATTTCATAAATCCTAAAAAGTTATTAGAATTCTTAAAGAAATATAACCCCTAATATCCATTAACAAATTGCAAATAAAATCCAAAATTTCACCAATAGTTGTTTCTTTTTCAATTTTAACTATGTATTAAGTTGGGATTTCAAGTGACATTTTGAGACTTTTTAAGATTTGAGACTTTTCAAGTTTGCAGAAATTCTGTAAAATCATAAGTCTGGAGGTGGGATTTGAAGTGAGATTTCGTATAAGGATTTTTTTTTAAAATCCCACTACATCTTAAAAAGTCTTAATAAATTCTAATCTCAAATATTGTGGGTGTATTCTGAGATTGTAACTGACATTTTGAGACTTTTTAAGATTTGAGACATTTTAAGATTTTCAGATTTTGGAAGAATTCTCTGAAATCTTTAAGGGGGGTGTATTCAATTGAGATTTCTAAAGAGTTTTGAGACTTTAGAAATCCTGGTGTATTCAATCTAGATTTGTTAAAACTTTTTAAGACTTTTAAAAGTCTTGGGGTATTCAATTGAGATTTTAAAAAATCTTACAAAATCTCTAAGTATTGTATTCAATTGGGATTTCTAAATATATTTTAAGACTTTAGAAATGCCGGTGTATTCAATTCAAATTTGTTAAAACTTTGTAAGACTTTTAAAAGTCTTGGGGTATTTCATTTGATATTTTAAAAGGCCATACAGAATCTTGAGGTATTTAACTTATTTAAGACTGGGATTTGTTAAGACCTTTTAAGATTTGGTGGGATTTTTAAAGAAAAAACCTTGTATGAAATCTACTTCAAATCCCATCTCCCGACTTAAGATTTAACAGAATTCTTCCAAATTATGAAAATCGTAAAAAGTCTTAAAATGTCACTTGAAATTCTAATTAAATACACCCATTAACTTAATTGAGACTAGGATTTGTTAAGACATCTTAAGATTTTGTGGGATTTCTAAACAAAAATCTTATACGAAATCCCACTTCAAATCCCACCTCCAAACTTGAGATTTTACGTAATTCCCCAAAATCTAAAAATCTTAAAAAGTCCCAAAATGTCACTTGAAATTTCAATTGAATATACCCCCTAAGTCTGCGGTGGGATTTAAAGTGAGATTTCGTATAAATTTTTTTATTTAGAAATCCTCCAAATCTTAAAAAGCCTTAACAAATACTAGTTTCAAATAAGTTAAATGATTTTGCAATACTTTTTAAAATTTCAATTGAATATCCCAAGACTTCTAAAAGTCTTTAATAGTCTGAATAAATCTAATTTAAATATTCTGAAATTTATAAATTTTTAAAAAACCCTAAAAAATCACAATTGAATACATCTAGTTAAATTTTATAAAACTTCTTAAAAATCTCAAATAAATACATAAGTAACAAATCTAAATTACATACGCCAAATTCCTAATCCTAAATCCTAAAGTCTTAAAAGGTCTCTATAAATCCTACAATCCCTCGTATAAAACATCGCAGAAAAACCACAAGATTCGCATCGTTGAGTATTTTGAGTTTGTATCGGAGCATCAATGGCGTCTCCGGATCTGGTTTCGAAGGCTAAAGAAGCGTTCATAGACGACCACTTCGAATTAGCCGTTGACCTATACTCTCAAGCCATTGCCTTGAGCCCTAGCAACGCCGAACTATTTGCCGACCGTGCTCAGGCAAATATTAAGCTCCAAAACTTCACTGGTAATAGATAATAAGGAATTCTTGATATCCTTTGTTGCCGGCTATAAGTTCTGTTCGTGCAGGAATTTTTAATTTGATAATTTGGAGACTATTAGATATTTTGAGATTATTTCTGGGCGATATATTTGGTATTTACGCCCTCAAGGTGGACTATTGTTTTTGCTATTGGCTACTGTTTTGCTATTCTTAATTATTATTAAATACCGATTTAGAACTTAAGCACTTGGATAAACGTTGACAATTCTTAATTAAGTTTTCGATTCCAGGAGCCTTCAAGTGGTTTGATTGTGCTGCATGCAAACCCATGTCCATTAGTTGGAAACAATAACATCCTAATGTGTGGTTAGGCGAGTTTTTGTTAGAAAGATTGGCTTTTTACATAGCTATTTAAGTTTCTTTATCCTTTCGTGTGCATGGGTCCAAGGTGTAGTACATGGGAACTATCGGCTCCATAAAATATCTATTCAAATTTGACGAATCTTTTATTGCAATTCAGAGTCCAAGGGTTGAAGCTTGAATACGGAGTGTATTGTTGCTATGTTGCCTATGAGAACTGATTTTATTTGAAAAATTCATTAGCATGTTTGAAATAATCAATCTGTAGTCTAAATTAGTTTGTCTGGTAGATTTCTTGTTTGTTATAGAAGTTTGTTTACGTTGTTTCTTATTTTCTCATGTTTAACATGCAGAGGCTGTTGCTGATGCGAATAAAGCTATCGGGTTAAATTCTTCAATTACAAAAGCTTATCTGCGTAAAGGGTTAGTTCTTTTAGGTTTGAAGGGTTTAGTTTTGAACTTGTGATCATTGGAGTTTAGTTTATGAAAAGCATCTCCTTCTGTCATCTTATTTTCTCTGTCTTCGTATCTGTTATTTTTTTTTTTTTGGGTTCAAAATCTTGATGATTCTTTCATAAAAAGGACTGACCGTGAGTTCAACATTTTCCATTTAGTTTTTCTGGCTAAGTTTTCATCTGAATCATCTGATAGTTATGTATGTTGTGAGTACAGTATGGCATGCATGAAGCTTGAGGAGTACCAGACTGCTAAGGCAGCTTTGGAAATTGGTGCCTCTTTGGCACCTGGAGATTCCAGGTTCACTAACTTGATCAAAGAGTGTGATGAGCGCATAGCAGCAGGTAATGTGATTAGCCACTTGGGTGATTATTTGCATCTTCTATAATAGCAATCATGGTATTGACCATATTGACTCTCTTCTCATTTTCTTAGATAAACGAAGATGCTGCTTCTCTTTTATAAACTCCTTTGTTAAAATAGGAAATTGTTTCATTCCCAACCCGTATAAATTGTTTCCATTTTTAAATATTCTTCTGTTTTTGTCAGTGAAAACTGGATTTCAGTTGATTTTTGCGACTTTTGATTTTCTGTAAGATTTGGGACATAATTTTTTGGTTGACCTTGATTCTTTGATATGTCTGTTGCTTGTGATGTGTATAAATGGTATTTACAGTTTTCACTCGTTACTGGAGCCTATGCTGTGTATTTACACTTTAAAATTCACATTTAAGGTGTTCTAAGTTGTGTTATCGGATGTATACTTCATTTATTCCAATCATTGGCCTGTCATATAGCTATGCCATTAGTTGTCGAGAAATATGCTCTGAGGTTTTACTGTAGATGTTTATGTGTGTTCCACTATAGATATGTATTTCTTGCTTATTTCAGAGCAAGCTGAAGAATTGCCTGAGAAATTGGTTAACAGTGGTCCATCAGTTGTGGTGGCTCCAAATAATTTGGCTCCACCAGTTAGCTTGTGCAGCCAAGGATCAACAGCGTCGCTTTCTAAGCCAAAATACAGGTAAATTGGAGTTTTCTGATTTGGTGCTTTTGAATTGAGAAGCAGTTTGATAGCATCTTATCATTATGGAAATTGTTTATTTCCTGAAACTAAGAGCAAACAAATTGTCCTTTCTTTAAACTGATCAGTGATCACTTATTAATCATGATTTGTCTATGGCTTGATTAATTGGACATCGTGTTTTTTTCGATCGTCTCCCTGTGAATTGCAGGCATGAATTCTATCAGAAGCCAGAGGAAGTGGTGGTAACAATATTTGCAAAGGGCATACCAGCAAATAGTGTCGTGGTTGACTTTGGTGAACAAATTGTAAGTAGAGCACGATCCTCTAAATTTGCCCCCTAGTGTAACATTTTTATTTCAAATGATTCTTTAATTAACTTTAACTGAGCTTCCAACCAACTTCGTTTAAAATGCAGCTTCATGTTACGATCGAGGTGCCTGGTGGGGAAGCATATCATCTTCAAACTAGATTATTTGGAAAGGTGATGTGCGACGTCTGTTTCTAAGCTCATTTATTTCTTTGGAGTAATATCTTGCTTGATTGCTTGCTTATATTCAACTCTGAATTTCTTATCTTCTATTTTTCTATGAATGATTTCGTGAGTGGAAGCTTTTGTAGAATCCTGTCAGTGCACTGTTCAATACTGTGGAAAACTTCAGTTAGAGCTCTGCATGATTTGTTAACTTTCTGCATATTTTAGAAAATACCGTAAATCAAAGGTGACACCAATAGTACACTTAGTTATATTGCTGATGCTGAATTTGTTAATGCATAGTTGCGTTGTGTTTGTTTTTCTTTCCCTTTTCCTGTACTGGCTATCCATATTTTGCTATTGTGTATAACTGATAGGAGCAATGCATGTCTTTTATTAATTCTCGACTTCAACTATTTTCTTGGTGCTATGATTGTAGAATGGTACCTTTTTCACACAGCTTATTTCTGTAACTAATTCTGTGTATTGATATTATCTTCTTAATGCGCAGATAGCTCCTTCAAAATGCAGGTATGAAGTCATGTCCACAAAAATCGAGATTCGTCTTGCCAAGGCAGACTCTGTACACTGGACGTCACTTGAATACCAGAGGGATGCTGCTGTTCCGCAGAAAGCAAATGTATCATCAGGTACTGCTCATTTAGGAAATTACAAGTAGCCTAACTTTCATTTCTCCTTTACCTAACAAATTGCACTCTGACTAACATTATTATTAGTTAGGCAAATATGAATAAAGTGGTGTCGTAATTGTCGTGGTGGTCTGTAATTTTAGAGAGATAATTCCATTTATATTATTTCTAATAATTAGGCTAATCCATAAATTTGGATATTTTTCTGTGATCAAAATATACTACATAAATTTTTTATTGAGCTTAACTGTGAAATTTTTGTTCAACAGGCAATCAGAAACCTGCTTATCCATCTTCGAAACCCAAAAGAGTAGATTGGGATAAATTGGAAGCTCAAGTGAAAAAGGAGGTATCTAATAAATTTGTATATCTATGTTTTACGACTCTGATGAATAACTAGTTCAAGCCTTAATTTTCATATTTGATGTGTGCTCTGTGTACCAGGAAAAGGAAGAGAAACTCGATGGTGATGCGGCTCTTAACAAGTTCTTTAGAGAGATATACAAAGATGCCGATGAGGACACTAGGCGAGCTATGAGCAAATCTTTTGTAAGAACTGAAATCCCTACTTCTACAAGATATTATTGGATTATTTGAAGGAAATGTTGTGTGATCTTATTGGGTTTTGTGATAATTACAAGAACTACCGCTGAAGTTTGAGTTAGTTACTGACAGGCCTAGGCTTGTTAAAAAAATTATAGAAAGACCCTTGTTCTTTTAGGCGTGTCACATTTATAAGGCTGGTTGTAAAGTTTTTAAAAGTCTATAGGGGTGTGAAAAACTTGTTTATAGTAGAACTGTAACAAAACAACTTTTT